AGAAAATATAAAACCAAAGCAATAGAAAAAAGATCGTTCAGACCTTTGATTGGGAGTCTGATCAAGGATACGTGCACAATATGTCACTGTTCACAGAGTCCATGTTTAGACCACACAACAATGGCTTCTCACCTGCTGCATCGAATTCCTGGAATGCAAATCAGCTGCCTCGGTCATGCATGAAAACGTTTACTGGGTTAGCACTGTCTGAAGAGATACTGGTAGTTATTTATTACCCCCATCTACCTCACTTACGCTTCTCACTCTGTCTGCTCTTTCCTTTAAGATGGGCTTAATGTTGATGACATGATTGATTTTACTTACAAAGTGGGGTAAACACCGGTTGAAGTATTCAAAGGTTTACTTGAATATTAATCAGTTGTTGATTCAGAAACGCTGGAGGTAGCTTTCAAATAATAGCTGTTTTACAAGGAAGGAAAATTTCAAACCAATCTCTAACATGAATATTGGTGTGCACACCCTAAATAATGTATCAGCTAATAGAACTAGCAAGTTATAAAAGGACTGTCCATCATGACTGTTGCAGGTTAGGCACCTCGGGAAGCTGACTTGGACAGAGATTGGTGAGCAGGGCATCAGCTGGGGAGCACCCTTGCAAAGGGAAGGAAGCAGGGCTGGCAGGCCCAGGGGAATGGCTCTTGACCCTGTGGGGAGTTCTGAAGATGAGACACACTTTGTCAGTGCCACGCTGGGGTGACAGGGCCTGGCCTTTATTTTTTCCCACTGATTATGGTTGGATGCAGCCACCCTGAAGGGGAGCTTAAACTTGGGCAAGGTGGTTCTCTTTAGCTGGGCAGTCTGCAAAGGGCAGACAGCTGAGGGCTGACTGCCAATATTTCCAACAGGCAGGACCATAGTCATTTACTCCTGAAGGGAATTATCAAGCACTCAGCAGCAGTCAAGGCTGGACTAGATCAGATGGTAAAGATAGAATGAGTGTTAGACTCACACTCACTTTTAGACTCAAATGGTTTCTTACTTACATAGGCCATGAAAGGAATAGAATAAGGCAATGGCGCCAGCTCCCTGGGTCCTTCCCCCACATGCAAAAAGGCAGAACCTACACAGAAGGGGCAGAATGACTGCAGCACAAGTTGTGGGATACTACATCACTGAGGAACCAAGTCTAGACTGAGGCCTCAGCAGTTTTACATTCTGCAGACCTATCCTGTACTCATCAGAACTTCATCAGAATCCTTGCAAGGGAGACAGGCAGGTGAATGGGAAATGGCATTGAAGCAGTTCCACACAGCCTCACAGCCTCTTGTCTTCTGGGAACATCACAAGGCGGTCTGTCAAGACTCAGACGAGCTGTGGTTCAACTCTTACCCACAGGTGCTATGTGCCAGAACACCTATAGCACCCATCACAGTGACCAAGTAGAGGGTCTAAGGAAGTTTAACATTAGAAAATTAAGTGTAATTCACAACATGAGCAGGCAAAAGAGAAAAATTATGTTATTATCTCAATAGATGCAGAAAAGACATTTGACAAAATTCAACACCCATTTGTAATTTTTACAAATGCTCTTAGCAAATTGGGAAAAGAACTTTCTTAACCTAATACAGAATATTGTAAACATTATCCTTATTGGTAAAATATTTAAATCTCTTCCCAGAGATTAGGAATAAGGCAAGGATGCCCTCTATTATCACTTCTAGTCAACATTGTACTAGAGGTCCTAGCCAGTGCAATAAAGCAAGAGAAATAAGTACAGGCTTACTAGCTCACTTGTTCAGAATTGGAAACTGCAACTATCTGAAACAAAGCTGATAACCAGCGTTTGGTGTTGCCAGTGTTATGGATTTCAGCCATTCTAATAGATATGTAGGGTACCTCCTTGTTGTTTTAATTTGTATTTCCTTGATGACATATGATGTAGAGCATCTTTTCATATTTTTTACTTGCCAGCTGGATATCTTTTTTTTGTAAGGTCTGTTATGATCTTTGGCTTATTTTTAAAGTCAGGTTGTTTTCTTATGGCAAGTTTAAGAGTTCTTTATATATTTTGAATAACAATCCTTCAACAGATAAGTCTTCTACAAATATTTTCTCACAATTTGTGGCTTGTCTTCTCATTCTCTTCACATTGCCTTTCACAGAAGTTTTTAATTTTAATGAAGTCCAGCTTCTCAATTATTTGTTTCATGGATCATGCCTTTGGTGTTGTTTCTAAAAGGCATTGCCATACGCAAGGTCACCAAGGTCACTCTCCTATGTTATCTTCAGGAGTTTTACAGTTTTGGATTTTTATATTTAGGTCTCTGATTCATTTTGAATTAATTTTATGAAGGGTGTGATGTCTGTGTCAAGATTCATTTTGTTGCATGTGGATGGCCAGATATTCTAGTACCATTTGTTGAAAAAACTATTTTTGTTTCATTGCTCCTCTTTTGTGCCTTTGTCAAAGATCAGTGGACTATATTTGTGTGGTTCTTTTCCTGTTCTATTGATCTAGTTGTCTATTCTTTCACCAATACCATACCATCTTGATTACTATAGCTGTATATGTAGTAAGTCTTCCAACTTTGGAAGTCAGTCCTCCAACTTTGTTCTTCAATATTATGTTGGCTATTCTCAATCTTTTACCTCTCCATATAAACTTTAGAATCATTCTGTTTACAAAATGATATCTACATACCTACAAAATAACTTGCTGGGATTTTGATTGGGATTGCACTTTATCTATAGTTCCAGTTGGGAGGAACTGGCATTTTGACAATATTGAGTCTTTCTATCCATGAGCATGGAATATCTTTCCATTTATTAAGTTCTTCATTGATTTCTTTAATCAGTTTTTTAGTTTTCCTCAAAAAGATTTTGTACAGATTTTGTTAGATTTATACCTAAATATTTCATTTTGGGGGCTTTTAATGTAAATGGTATTGTTTTTACTTTCAAGTTCCATTTGTTCTATACTAAGATTTGGGTATTTTATTTATGTATCTTAATATAAAAAACTTAGAAAGTATTTTTAAAAGAGAGAAAATGTCTCAACACAGTCCAGAGCTGGGAAATTTCAGAGAAAAGAAACTTCACATGAAAAAAAATTCCAATGTTCATTGCTGGTATGTAGGAAAGAGATTGACTTTTGTACATTAACCTTGTATCCTGGAACCTTGTTATAATTATTTATTAGTTCCAGGAGTTTTTTTGTTGATGCTTTCATATTTTCTATCACAATTTTATTTTTTTTCCTTCCCAATCTGTATACCTTCTATTTCCTTCTTTTGTCTTATTGCATTAACTACAACTTCCAGTACAATTCTGAAAAGGAGTGGTGAGAGGGGATATCTTTTACTTGTATCTGATCTTAGTAGGCTTCAAGTTTCTCACCATTAAGTATGAGGGGTGGATCTTTTTGTCTTTAGTTAATGCTTACCAGAGACTGTCCACTGCAGAAGGTGCAGAAGAACAACTAGGTGGACAGAGTGTCTTGCCCACAGATGTCAGCCAGCCTCTGCTCTTAGCTACCTCAGTGCTTGCATAATGAACCCATAAATGAAGAGATTGACTTTGTAAATTAACCTTGTATCCTGCAACCTTGTTATAATTATTTATTAGTTCCAGGAGTTTTTTTTTTGTTGATTCATGGTGGTAGAGATTAGAAATTTGGCAGGTATTAGAAATTTGTGCTGAGACCTTCATATAGTTGTATCTCTCTAGGAGAACAATCAGCCAATTTGTTACAGGATGATTAAAATAAATCTCTTCCATTCTGGAAGGGGCATTCATTCATCTTTATTAGAACTGGTATATCTTTTAAACATGGGTTTGCCTTATCTGTCCATGCCTCTGCCAGTACCACTATATGAAGGCTCATGTAGGATCTTGCATAACATTGTATCAGACCAAGGGACCCCACACAAAGTCCAGAGAATGGGCACATGGACAAAGGTCTACTGGTCCTGTCATACACTGCATTACTTGGAAGATGCCAGATTATGAAATGTTGAAATTAATTTATAATAATGGGGCTGAGGTTGTCCTTCACAATGTGGTATTACACATTGAACCAACAATCAGAACACACAATTTGGGGAACCAATAGGTATAAAAAGAAGTGGCTCCTTTCACCATCATGTTGTTACTTGCTTGGAGATTTTGTGTGGAATAACAAACAGCAAAGGCTTTATCAAATAGGACAACAAATTCAATGTTAAGCAGTATTTTCCTTATGAAGAGTTAGATAAGACACAAGAAGATGATCATTAAACATGTAAGTCTATTTAATAGACTCAAAATATAATAATGAGAAAAAACAAACTTAAATATTGAACAGAAGAAATAACAAAACCCTTTACTTTATATTTTTGTCAACAAAAGATCTGAGTCATAACTTAATGGGAACCTTAAATTTTTAGGTTAAACCAAAGCTGCATTGTGACAGCCACCAAAGCAATCTGCACAGCTCACCATACTGAAGGCTCAATCACGGTTTGAAGCAACATTCTTAGAAATCCAAAATATAAACTAAAAAGCCATTCTTTCTTAGCTAAATAAGCCTTAAAACTAGGTAAATATCTAAAACATAAAAATTCTAAACTTTATTTGCTAAGGGCATGAGTTAAAACACATGCCCATACAGAAAAGTGACAAAAACAGAGTACAAAAAGAAAGTATTCATGTGTGAAAGAATCACCATGTTGATTTATGTCAAAGAATATCATAGTTGAAGAATATATGAAGTTTGAAAGAATATCTATATGTGAGGTGTAGTTAGGTTATAAGATTTCAGGAACACTTGAATTTATTATTGAACTGGAACACACCATATAGAATACAGGCATACCTCATCTTATTGTGCTTCACTTTATTGCATTTTCCAGATAATACATTTTAACATTGAAGGTGTGTGGCAACTCTGCATTTAGCAAGTCTATTACAGCCATTTTTCCAACAGTGTTTGCTCACTTTAGGCCTCTGTGTCACATTTTGGTAATTCTCACAATATTTCAAACTTTTTCATTAGCATTATATTTGTTCTGGTGATTTGTGACCAATGATCTTTGATGTTATTATTGTAATTGTTTTGGGGTGCCACAAATTGTGCCCATAAAAGATGGTGAACTTAATGCATGTGTGTGTTCTGACTGCTCTACCCACAGGCTGTTCCCCCATCTTTCTCCCTCTCCTCAGGCCTCCCTCATCCCTGAGACACAATATTGAAATTAGGCCAATTAATAACCCTTCAGTGTCCTCTTAAGTGTTCAAGTGAAAGGAAGAGTTGCACGTTTCTCACTTTAAATCAGAAGCTAGACATGATTAAGCTTGGTGAGGAGGGCATGTTGAAAGCCATGACAGGCCAAAAGCCCGGCCTCTTGTGCCGAAGTCAGGCAAACTATGAACACAAAGGAAGAGCTCTTGAAGGAAATTAAAAGTGCGCCTCCAGTGCACACACACATGCTGAGAATATGAAACAGCCTTATTGCTGACATGGAGAAAGTATAAGTGGTCTGGATATAAGAACAAAGCAGGCACAACATTCCCTTAAGCCAAAAACCTAATCCAGAGCCAGGACCTAACTCTTGTCAACTCTATGAAGGCTGAGAGAGGTGAGAAAGCTGGAGAAGGAAAGGTTTCATATAGCAGAGGTTGGTTCATGAGGTTTAGGAAAGAAGCGGTCTCTTATCAGCAAGTGCCAATGGAAGCTGCAGCAAGTTATCCAGAAGATATAGCTCAGATCATTCATGAACGTGGCTACACTAAACAATGGATTTTCAGTGCATTCAAAACAGCCTTCTATTGGAAGAAGATGCCATCTAGGATTTTTACAGCTGGAGAGGAGAAGTCAATGCCTGGCTTCAAAGGACAGGCTGACTCCCTGGTTAGGGGCTGCTATAGCCAGTGAGTTTTAAGTTGAAGCCAGTGTTCACTTACCATTCCAAAAATCGTAGGGCCCTTAACAATTATGCTGTCTACTCTGCCTATGTTCTGTAAGTGGAAAACAAAGGCTGAATACAGCACATCTGTTCATAGCATAGTTTATAGAATATTTCAAGACTACTGTTGGAAACTACTGCTCAGAAATAAAGATTCCTTTCAAAATATGTACTGCTCATCAACAATGTACCTGGTGACTCTGATGGAAGATGTCCAACAGATAAATGTTGTTTTCCTATCTGCTAATACAACATCCATTCCACAGCCTATGGACTGAGGTGTAATTTTGATGAGCTTTGAAGTCTTATTATTTAAGAAATACATTTTGTAAGGCTGTAGCTGCCATAGATAGTGATTCCTCTGATGGATCTGGGCAAAGTAAACTGAAAACCTTCTGGAAAGGATTCACTATTCTAAATGCCATTAAGAACATTTGTGATTCATGTGGGGAGGTCAAAGTATCAATATTAACTTCAGAAGTTGATTTCATCCCTTTGAGGGATTGAAGACTTCAATGGAGAAAACAGCTGCAGATGTGGTGGAAATAGCAAGAGAACTAGAATTGGAAGTGGAGCCTTAAGATGAGACTGAATTGCTGCATCTTATGATAAAACTTGAACAGATGAGGAGTTGCTTCTTATGGAGGAACAGAGAAAGTGGCTTCTTGAGATGGAACCTACTCCCAGGGAAGAAGTGCGAAGATTGTTGAAACGACCACAAAGGGCTTAAGAATATCACATAAACTTTGATAAAGCAGCAGCAGGGTTTGAGAGGATAGACTCCAACTTTGAAAGAAGTTCTAATATGAGTAAAATGCTATAAAATATTATCGCATGCTACAGAGAAATCATTTGTGAAAGGAAGAGTCAATCTATGCGGCAAACTTTGTTGTTCTAAGAAATTGACACCCCCACCCCAGCCTTCAGCAGCCACCACCCTGATCAGTCAGGAGTCAGCAACACTGAGGCAAGACCCTCCACTAGCAAAAAGATTACGACTCACTGCAAGCTCAGATGGTTAGCATTTTTTAGCAATAAAGCATTTTTTACCTAAGTTATACAATTGTTTTTTTTAGACATAATGCTATTGCACACCTAAAAGACCACAGTATAGTGTAACTATAATTTTTGTGTGTACTGGAAAACAAAAAATTCATTTTGCTTGCTTTATTTTGATATTCGCTTCATTGCAGTAACCCACAATATTTCCAAAGTGTGCCTCCAAGTATTTCAAAGTTGCTACCAAAAAACAAGTTAAAATTCTATGTGGCAATTTCAGTTTCTCAACATATCTTCCTTTGATATGGGCATCAGACTAAGAAAGATGTAGGGTAAAATAATTAATGGTTTCTGAACGATACACTAGCCATCTAGTTCTGTTTCTGAATCATACAGAATATCCTGGTCCATAAATAATGGAATCGATTTTTGGAAAGGGTATCAATTTTGGGCTAAGGAACTATGGGGTGAAATGGACCCTCGGTGAAAGTGTGGGACACAGAAATTGGTAAGTGACCTAAATATTGAAAGCCAGGTGAGGAAAGAACAGGCAGTAAATGCTGGCTTGTTGGAGTTTTTCCCCCCTCCCTTCTTTGATTCATTCATCTTTCTAAGACTGCCTTTTCTGTATCTTTATCATTTGTTCATTCAATATTATAACATAAAGATTAGAAGAAAAAGAACAAATTCAAGGCCAGTATTTAAAAGCTTGAATAAAAACAACAATAAGTCTATCCTCTGATCAGTAAATTCTTCTTGGTGAATAAAATCTTAATTTTTGTGGAATGGGTGACTTTAGTAGAGAGCGTTAATTTGGGATGTGATACTCTGCTTTTGAAAGTGGGAATAACTACTTTCTCAATAATGTGCTAAAAGTATTTCCCTTTTGAGGCATTAATGTTTTATGGAGTTTTATTTATCCTATAGTATATCATTGCATTACACAACTGCAGATATAATGCCTAATTTCTAATGACTTATCCAAAATCACTCAGGAAAAAGCAGGACCAATGGAAATATAATCAAAACCTCTTGAAAATGTGTTACTGTAGATGCGTATAAATAAACTACAATCAAGAGTTGAATCTGAGGTCTGGTAACTGATTTTTTGTTGAAGAGAAGACTTTTTAAAAGTGTTATTTAACATTTAAATGTAAAAGATTTAAAAGAACATTCTGGAAACTGACGTATAAAGATATATTTATTCTGAGTCCAGGTGCTTTCTCAAGTGTAGAAGTACAGGGCAAATCTGACTTTTCCATCAGTAATACAGACTCAGGCTAAGCTGGGCTGCAAAAATGTCTGAATCTTCTCTAGCATTTGGACAGACCAAAAGAAATTAATCAAATCTTCATGTTTACTGTTAATTTTCCTTACAATTGGTAAAAATGCTGCCTACAAGAGATGGCATTCATATTTTCAATGAATTCATATATTTTTTGATGATCAAATAGACAAAATGAATTAGACTTCATTTTTAAAAATAAGGTTTATCTGTAGTATTTTAATAACTCTACTTTTACCCTGGAGAATACACAAGTATAGACAATACTAGCTTTCACATTTATTAAAAAGGTATAGTCATTACACTAATGCAAAAGGACAAAACTCTTTTCCTATTCAAAAAATCTTTTCTTACTATAAAGAATTCTCTCTACATTTGAGCTAGGACGCTGGAGCATTTGGGCGAGAGGAGTTTGGGATGACTGGCCAGAATTCATTAAGTTTTCTCTTTTCTCAATTGAGTAACTGAAATAGGAACTCTAGTTCTAAGTATTAGAAGCAAAGCCTAAATAGTAGAAAAACAGAGAGAATGTAAGAAACTGCTTCAAATTACGTGCAAGCTTGTACTTTCATGTGGTGGCAGCTTCCAAATGAAAAATCTTTCTTCATTTTTTAATCTTCGAGTTCATAGCTGGAAAGAGATGTGAATTAAAGTACAGTGTCATGGTAGTTTCCATTGTTGGTGTCACTGTTACCAAATGATTTTCCCTGAAACATCTCCAGTGACTAACACAGCAATGTTGCATTTTCCCCTTAAACCCACTGCTCAGTACAAGTCAGATATGGCCCATATATGATGACGACAAAGGGGATTCCTGCAGCAGGTGGGAGAATGGACCAGATAACAGCTAAGGTACCTTCAGGTCTCAGATCTAGCATTTAGACTCATAATAGCTTAGTGTAGTAAAATGTAATAATTATCTAAATTATCAGACTGGCACTAATATCTGATATGGCTATGTGAGTAAAGGGCTAACAAACCCCATTCTCTAAGGACTAATTTGATTCTTGAATTTACTCTCTGGCTCTGTTCCCCTGGAATTCTGATGAATATAAAATGTCAGCTGAGTTTCCAGGCAAAACTGCCAATGAAAAAATGACTCTGATGAACAGACCACATGTGCAGTAGAAGAACTGTGAATGAGCTATAAATACATGGTAGGAGCCACGGGTTCAGGCTTCCATCTGTGTGGGGAGTTCTCAGCCACCAAGTCCCTGCCTGACACCATGTGGCTACACTAGGATCCTGGGGTCCTAGGGGGAACATGGATTTCTAAACTGTGGCACCCATCTGTATGGACCTCATTCTCTAGCACCTAAATTGTCACTTGAAGGCACTCTATGACCGACAGATCTTGGATGCTGGAAGGACACCACTGAGGAGCAATGCCTAATGTTGCCTTGTTAACTTGCTCTGTTGCTTATACAACATCCTGCTAAGTGAATCCGTTGCCAAGAGCAGCCTATTGTAGTTGTGTGTGAGTATAAAGTTGTAGCTGAACCTAAAAAGAAGCCCTGGTGGGCATTAAGGACAAGGCCTGGACAAAGCTCCTCTTTCCTCAAACACAGGCTTCTGGATTAAACAATAGAGCGGCTACCCACTGGCAGGGAGACAAATCCGAGAGGCAGGATCAGCACGGCTTACTTGGCCAGTCTTTTCCTCAGGTCTTTGATTTGGTCATTCTTCTTGCTAAGAATCTCTTTCATGTTTCGATAAGCTGCTGTTTGCTGGAATTTCTTCTCTAATTCCTGAATAATCAAAAATGTCAGCCCATTACTAAGAAATAATTAAGGAAAGAAGTAACAAATCTGATGAAAAAATATGTTTTTTTACCTAATTTTACTAATATTCTTCTATTACTTGCTAATTTCTTTTGAAAATATATATAAAATTAACTCTCCAAACTTTAAAAATATATTCTTTCATATAAGAAGTCAATAAAATAGTACCATTGTCCCAAGTACAATGTTAACATATAACTCAAACATATGCCCTAGACATAAGAATTCTATTTGAAATAGTAAACTAATTTCCAGCTAAAACAAGCATGAACTTTTCTAAAGTAGTGTTGGTATTTTAGGAGGAGGACAAGAGCAACATGAGGGTGCAGGGCTGTGGACGTAAACCACCGCAGTGGGGATTTTACTACACCCTAGGAAACTTTTTATTATCATAGATACTTTGGTGCCAAGGATGGAAGGATCCCAGTGCCCAGAAATGATAAATCTTTAGAACACACATTGGCAAATACCTTGAGAAAAAATGAGGTGAATCTGCAGTTCTCCAAAGTTTCTGTTAGTCACACTGGTCCCTCTATACTGCATTCATCACTTACTGGGACATAAACAGACAAATCTGACCTTTTCAGCCATGCTCAGCTGCTCCTGAACCCTGAGTAGGTCATGCTTGGCTGTCGCTAGACTCTCCTCCAGGGACTTCTGGTTTTCTGTCTGGTCGTTAAGTGTCTTCTGAAACTCACTCTTTAAAGCAGCAACTGTGTTTTCTAAGTCACTCAAGTCTTGGGCCTTTACAAAATCCTATGAAAAATACATAATTAACATAATTTCATGTTGACATCCTAAATAACAACTGTTAGAATCGTGACTCAACATCGTGAGGTGAAAGCAAATGATGTCATGTATGCTTGTGGACCTCCCTCACCAGCTCGGGTTAGTTCCAGCCCCTTGGGGTGCCAGCACCCAGTTTACCCTCACTTCGCCCTCAGCCCTCAGTGTGTGGTGTTTGCACAAGGCAGACACTCTGGTCACTGATTCCCAAATATGTAAATAAATATGATTTATGAACTGATGGAATTCCAAAGAGGAACAGGAGAGAGGTGAGATCCTAAATTTGACAAGGTTTTGTGTCCCTGAGTTGGGTTGGCAAACAAGTTTTCATTTTTGAAAAGTCAAAAAAAATTTTGGTGAAGAATTTTGAATGAAAAGATGGAAAAATAATAAAACTAATAAAATTTATATAAAAATTTAATAGATGTTTTAGTCATTATTTACAATAAAACATTATACAAGCTTAATTAGTGCTTACTGCCTATACAGCTTGCTAATTTTACAAGATTTTAAGCTTTTTATATTAATACAATATGCACATTTGCATGCTTTGTCAGCATTATACAAGCAGCTGGATCTTGTTTCTGACTGGATAAAATTTATAATAGAAAATACTTGTATTAATAAGATAGGAAAATGGTCTATAATTACTAAATATGAAGATAAAGCAGTACTATCAACAAAAGAAAAATTCCTTACTCATTTTTGAAATCTGGTGCTTAAAAGGGTTTTATTCCATTGCAACTAGTGAAAGCATGGATGGATCTGCTTTTGCCAAAATCTCAAAAGTAAAATTGGAGCAAAATCCAAAATGGCTTTTAAAACAAATTTATCATCCAAAAATATTTGCAATTGTTTTACCTCTGAGACATTATAAAGCTATTCTGGAATATTTAGCTCTGTTTTATAACTCTATGGGTCCTTGTTATATAATGATTGAAAACCACATATATGTTTACTTTGCTTTTTTAGCCATATAAGAAGCCATACAAAAAATCTTGCTATTTTAAAATTATCTACAGATGAAATGATGTAACACCTGAGATTTGCTTTAAGAAACCATGGGGTGGAGGGGAGAAGAAAGTAGAGGTAAATATGAAACTAGACTGGCCATGACTGATGATTGGTAAAGCTGGGGGCGCCTTATACTATTTTCTCTACTTTTGTATGTTTGAAATTTTCCATAGAAAAAGTATAACAGAAGTCTAGTGAAGTAGGTTTGGTATTGTTTAGTAGATGCTTACAATGACAGTATAACCAGTAGGAGACCCTGAACATTTCCTCAAATGGTCCCACTGGCATGAAATCTTCCCCAGCACCCAACCCAACGGGGAGGCCATGGGAAGCGGAATGTGCACGCTGACTCCCTGCAGGCCGCACGATCCTCAGGTGTCTGCTCAAACAAACCCGGAGAACTTCAACACTGGATGTCACCATACTGCCCAAGTACTGCTGCATATGGATGGGCTTGAAGGTGCATAGCCAGGAAAGTCATCGTTCTGTTTTGTCATACTCACCAAAGACAAATGTAAGTTATAATGACTTCTGTTTAATAAAACCCTAATACAAATACATTTAACTAAAATCTCTTCATTTCCTTTTCTCCTTTTTGTAATTGGAATGTCAAAGGGAAAGGGGGAAGAATTTTAAAAAACACGTCTTAAGATGAATTTAAGAATGTGCGTATGCAGTGGGCTCTCAGCATGGGGGCGGCCCACGAGCAGCGGGTCTGCCCCCTCCCTCCCCAGGCTCTCGCCTGGCCTCTCCCGGACCCAAAGCAGAGCAGTGGCATCCTTCTCAGGGAGGGCATGATGAAGAGTCATTACGACTTCATATTAAGTTTATAATTTTATTCTATTTAGAAAACATGAAAAAGATAGCTAAGACATATTTTACCTTTTGATTTCCTTGATCAAGCTGTAAATCCTGAAGTGCTCTCTCTAGTTTTGATTTCTCATCCAAAGCCTTTGTTGTCTATAATCGAGTTTAAACAAAACACATTCAGTATTTAGTCTGCAACTCTCAATAATTCTGTTCAAGTATTTCTAGTTACCTGTATTTCTGTGGTCTTCAGCCTTGACTTCAATTTCTCATTCTCTTCTTGAAGTCTTAAGATTTCCTTTGTGAATAAATCCAAGTGTTATTACTTCAGCCAAAGTATTTTTAATACTTGAGGTTATTTGTTTCACTTAACATTTTTAAATTAAAATTAAATTATGTAATAGCTCAAAAGTTGGCATGCCCTAGTTATTGGCAATATCCCAGTTTTACCTAACCTACCAGCCTCAACGCCATTGAGTCATCTTTGGCTTTAAGACTTCTAGTTCCTTCTTTCAATCTCTCAGACTCTCTTCAGCCCTCTGTTCTCAGCCTTTTTTCAAAGTCCTCCTCCGCTGCCATTTCTTACCAGCTGGTCCTGTAACTCTTGGGTCTACTCTGGGCCTGCCCTGTACACCATGTGCTGCTTGTCTTACAAACACAATCTTGACTGTTCCAGTACTCTATGCCCAAGTTGCTGAATGGTTCTGACTGAGTTGAGGCCAAACACCTTTATTCTTATGCAGCTGTGTTACAGGAATCACCTGCTAGCCCAGGCTTCTTACTCTGCCCTAATACCCCCACCGGCTCAAGTCAGAGAGCTCTGCACTCTGTTCCAAATTGTGCCAGCCTCCCTTCCGCCTCTGACTGCTGCCCATTCTGTTCCCTTGCTGCCATTTCCTCTTCTCTTTCCTCCAACAGTTCAAGCTGTCTTTACCCCTCAGCCCAGCTCTGGTACTGCCTTACCCCAAAGGTTGTCCCCACCACATTCCCACATGGAACTGTGTCTTCTCTGCCACCAGTGGCCCCTGTGGCAATACAGGTGAGCATTCTCCTATCCCTCTTTCCAGAATATTAATTCTCCCTTCCCAATGAGACTATAAGTTTTTTGAGGGCAAAAGGCAAGGTGTTACACTGCTTTTTATCTAACAATACCTCATATAATGTTGAGAATACAGGAGTCATGAGACATTTTTTTGTATATTAGTAATTAATGGTTATAAACCTGAATAAAAAATATCCCTTCATTGTTACTACAGATCATAGGCTTCAAATGTTCACCAATAAACACCATCTAAATTCTGTGCTCTTCACTTCCCCGTTAGAAGATGCAATCCAGAGCCACCTCAGACTTTCTGGAAGGTAAGGATGCCCTCTTCTGGCCCGCTGGGCACTATTAAATAAAAATTGCAATGGACTAATTACCCTCGGTGGACCAAAGCCTGAATCAATCTTCTCCTACCTCGGTTTCCCCACCCTAGAGCTGTGCCAGCAATGAAAGGCCAGAATTAGAGGGTTGGCCATTTCTCAAAATGCTGCCCTTACCTTGTTGAGGAGTTCTGCTGTTCTACCTTCATTAAGTGGAGCAAGTTTTGGCTTTACAGTATCTATGATGGGCTGAAATGAAATAAAGAAGCCAAAGTGAAATCACCATGGAATAAACCACACATAACCACTGGACACTTTCTAAGTGAGAGACACTGTGTAAACATGCCCACTGGGATGTCAGCTCCACGAGGGGGGATTGTGCTGGTTTGGGTCTCTGCTTCGTCTCCGTGCCTGGCCCACAGTGCCCAGTATAAATTAAGAGATAAAAATGAAACCCATACTCTCCATATCTTTTTTTAAAAATACAAATGGAAAGGAAAGGAGGGAAGGAAGGAGGAAAGATGCTCAGAGCCAGAGCAGATATAGATCTGGGTCTTCAGGAGCCCCAGTCCCTGGGAAAAACTGTTAATTCTGATGAGAATTTAGGCAACTACACTACCAATAAAGAGTAACTTGACACAAATACTCTGGTAGTTTAGCCATATGTATTAAAAACAGAAGAATCCATGTCCTCTGACCCAGAAGTTTCTGAGCCAGAAATATAAGAAAAGCTGACCATATGAAAGTTTATCGAAAGAATGGCAGTTTCTTAATAATACGTTCCACAGGAATTACCAGAAAATTGTTTTGTACATGTATGTTCATGGATATCTTAACAGCTTTTTACTATCCAACACCAGGGGGTATTTATGGTGCATCTATACAGTGAAATGTTAAATGGTCATTGCAAGTTATGGGACTGATTAAAAAGAAAAGTAGGTAACTACTAGTACAGACAGCACTTGACAGATGAGGAAAATGAGGGGCTGCCATCTCAGGTACCTGTTCAAGGTCACAGCCAGGGAGTGGCCGAGCCAGGATGTATACCCAGGTTTGGCTGACCCCAACGCCTATGCCCTCCATCATCTGTGGGAAGGGTTTCTCTGGCTGGGAGTCAGATGGACTGCAGGGATTTCACACGTGTGTTTGACAGACAAAATCAGTTTTACATAGTTACTTCCAAAGCTTTTCTTCTTTTGCCTGAAGATCTGAGAGGCAATATTTGAATCCTGCTCTTGAATTGAATACTTTTCTTTGAGTGCTCTCACGTCAACCTCTGAATGCTCTGAGCAACTTGGGAATTTTAAATACTGGCTATTAAGATATGGACTTAGAATAACCAAAAATTACCTTTTTACTTGAAGATATGAATTCTGTTTTTTCAAATTCTGCAACTTGTTCTAACAATTCTCTTGAAGATAAAAGCAAATGTGAAAAAACAACATTAATTTAAAACAGATTTGCATCATACATATAATACTTAAATCACTGGTACCAATGTTACATGCTAGAGAGAACAGAGCAAGATGAACAAAACTTCGCCATATCAAAAATGATATTTAGTTATTAATGGTTGCGAATCCAAACCACATGGGCTCAGATTTGAATTTTCCACAGAACCTAGGATTCTGCCCGGACTGTGCAATGTAACTATTAGAACTAAACTATTAATAGAAATATGAACTCTTTAGTCTACTCTGTATTTTTGAGGTGCTATAGAGAAATTGCTAGTAGATGTTCAAGGAAGACAACTGATTTTAATAGAGGAGCTCAGAAAAATGGAATTAGTTCATAATGTCTACTGAAAAAGTGTGATATATCCTCCAGACAGACGGCTGGTTTGGGGTGTCTACCTGATTATTTCCTCTTATTTGCCAAGGTAAATGAGCGGACTATATGAGGCCTTATAGAGAGAAGAGCAATTCCTTAATAAGCTTCTCAATAGGTCGGTTTCTCACCAGTTACTTACTGACAGTTGGTGAAGTTACATGGTCTTCCTTCCCTGCCGTAAGCCATACTCTCCACATGAGCCCACATCCTGCAGCTGTGTTTTGAGACCTGCTTTTAGGGCTCAGTGGTCCATCTTTCCTGATTTCTGGCATGACTTTTCTTAAAATTAGTTTTAATTTCACCTTACTATATTTTTTTAAATTAATGAACTCTTTGATACTGTTTAGATTCTAAAGCTTTTTTACATTTCCTATTTTAAAGATAAATGCATAATTTTAAACATAATTATTTAGAAATAAACTTCCAATTCTACTAGTCTGAACTGATGGTATATGAATTAAGTTTTCAACTGTTCTATAATCTTTACTTATTAGCTGACCTCTCTCTAAAGACTTATTACAATACTCACCAGGCTGTAAGAAATGATCAATAATAGCCTGAAAAGCAGTTTCATAAATCTCAATTGCCCTATAACACCGAGGCATGGTAGAAACAAAGAATTCTGAAGAGGACATTGAGTGGCACTAAGAGTTCACTCAGTAACCAGATGCTCTGCTACCCCCCTAGCCAAATTTTCTCACACACCGGTCCCCACAAAAGAAACAACAAAGACAGTAACTGACTTTTAAGGTCATGCTTGGGCCACTACTGTCATAATTGCAGGTACAAACTTTATTACCTGTTTTCGAGTTCGGAGATATCTGTTTGTAGTTTGAGGTACCACTTCTCAGCTTGTGAGAAAAGCTGCCGCAGGAGTAGCACATTGGTGTAGGCCGTGTTGATGAGCTCAGTCTCCACCTCACTGTGTACCACAGTCTGTAACCCAGTCAGGACTTCGGAGACTTCATCTACGGTGAAGGTCTCCTCTACCAGCCTGAAAAACAACCGTGACCTAAAATTACTGGATAAACAACAAAAATCATTTACAAAATAAAGCAAACCTAAGAAATCCACATTCATGTCACCTTAAGGGGTCAAGGGTTATAGTGAAAATCTCCCTGGAACTGTCTTCTTTATTAATAAAAATGGTTGAAAATAATTGATGTCTATTTAAATGATTAACTGTGGCTCATTCTTCAAATGTGCACAGTGTTTAATATAAGTACATGCTCAGATACAGTCCCCCACACTTTTACCCTTTAATTTTGCAGTTAAAATTTTTCACTTTAATTCCACTAAAATTAGTCTTAGCACATTTAATAGTTTCAAAAGTCACCTGGAAGGTAGAATTTCTCCTGACTTTCTTATTATTTGTCCAACATTTCAATAATTGCATAAACTATTCATATGGTAGTAAATGCCTATCAGAAAATCTCTGGTAATTATATATTGCTTTTCTTAGCATTCTTGGGCCCAACAGAAAAAAAAACAACTCTAATGTATCTTAGTTAAAGCTTGACTGACCACTAACTGCTCCATAGAAATAAACATCATGACTGATAGTATTACAAATCTACTCTTACACAGAGAATGTTTGGGTTGGGAGACAGCTTGGGAGCCCTCTTCTTCAGTCCCTTCAATTTATAGGCAGGAAGGCAGGCTCAGAGGGTGGAGGTGATATGCCCATGGTCCCACCGGCGGTGACTCAACCCCACAATCATTTCCATCAATCTCAGCAACATGGCCACCAGCTGAATCTTGAGAAAGCTTCTGTGCATGCCTACTTTCAGTGACAATTTGACAGTACCAGAGTCCTCCCCTCCCTGCCTCCCCCCTCAAGTCCCTTATCTCTCAGATGTCCATCAGGTAAAGACCATCAGCCCCAAACCTGGGTTTATCTTCTTCCTCACTGCAAAAGGACACAATGAAGGGCTTTGTACCAAAGCCTTATTATAGTTATTATAGTTAGTAGTATTTTGATTTACCACTCTTTAATTTTTCATTTAGCCATCAGAATTTAACCAATCTAAAAGACCAAAACTTCAATTATTTTTTATTTAAGTCTTTATTAAATATATTAACAATTTTCCAATATTCTTTACTAGAACATACCAAATCTGCTTAGGCCTTTTGTTTGGCAACCCAAGATCATTGTTATGAATAGAAGTTAAGGTACTTGGACCTATAAAGTAGCTTCTTTGGCTCACAGCCTGGCCAATTAAATTGTTGCTCACAGCTGCTGGGGATTAGGAAACCAGATTCCCAGATTAGATTAATGGGCTGAACAGTAACAGTCTACAGCTGATAGTATCTGCTACTGAGTGAAGTGGCAGCTTTATGACCAAGACCTCACTTGGAGGCCTTTTTCATTTATTTACTCGACACTGTGCCCTTCACTTCACATCTGACTCTAAGTAATCTGATGTCTCTATATTATTTAGTTCTTTCCTTTGGTTTCCCTATTATCCTCTAGATCAAGCATACATTATCTATGGACTTCAATTATATTCCATTATTGATCCAACCAAACTAATTATCATCTTATGACAAATCAACAACCATTTCAGGACTAGGCAGCAAGCATTTCATGGTTTCCTGCTCTTTTCCCCTCTCCTAATTCTTTAATATGAACTGTGTAGGCATTTTCTTGTTAATTGCCTTGTCTTATGGCTCTAATTCTTTAATTAATAACTCAAGTGATTAGTTTTGGAATCTTCAATACACTAAGCCAATCATTAACTTACATGCGCTTTTACAATTTCCTGACTGCCCTTTTGAAACTCTACAATCCCATAATTGTCATATGTACACGTTTGCTAATAGATTGCTCCCACAACAATCCAACAAAGCTTGGTGTAACTGCTCTCAGTGAGTAACGGTTCAGGAGAGTCCCGGCAATGCTTTGTAGAGGCTCTGCTACCGCAACCCCATACTGGCTACCAGAAAGGATTCATGTTTCCATTGCTTTTACTTGGAGTCCTCTGATACCTGCTCTTCTTGAGGTCTTGGAAGCAGGAATCTACAGTTTTGAGTCTCAAGCCTCTTTTTGAACGAGCAAAACGCATATAATTAATAATTTCATTTTGATGGTGCTCATTTAGGCCCAACTCTGCCTGAAAGAGAGAGACGCAATTTAATTGTTAGTTTTGAAGATGTGATAAATGAACCAACATGAAAATATACAGGATATCCTATGGTAGAGACTGCTAGATGTCCGTCAAATTCTGTTCTTCCCTTCTTCCTGAGTACCTGGTTGCCAAACTAAAGGACACCTCCTAGCCCTCCTTGCAATGAGGTATGGCCACATGACTACTTCTCAGCAGTGGATGTGAGCAGAAGACATGTGGGTATTTCCCAAGCCTGGGCCTTAAGACATGGGGCACAGTGCCCAGGGGCTGGGGAAAGAGCAAGATGAGGGCGACCTGTACCCCTAACTCGTCCATGGAGCAGCACTGACATACGCACCTGAGAGGGCAGCGGGAGGGCTGCTAAGTGAAGAAGAACTCAACTTCTGTATTCCTTCGGCCACTGTTTTTTGGATCTCTACTACAGTAACTTAACTGTACCCCCATCTAATACAGCTTTAAAAAATGTTTTGGTTTTGAAATAACCATTAATTGCTCTTTATTTTAAACCAGATGAGAGGTTGATAACTATGAACTAGAGATTAATGAAGTTCTTTTTCATTTTACAGTTATACTAAAAAGAAAAGAAGAAATTATAAAACTGAACATCTAATGAAGGGGACTAAATGGTTCAGAATTATCTTTAAGAATAATGATCTATCATAGCCTTCTTGTGGAAGACAAAGGTCTAACTTCCAAGCCTCTTTTTTAGGCTTACCTCTCATTCCCTCTCACAGGATTGCCTCTGACATTGAGGAAGCCAATACTGAGGCCATTGGATCTGGCAAGATCCCTGTACCCCACCCCCCTCAAGTCCTACACTGTTCTTTTCTGCATCCACATACATCCTTACCTCCTCTCACAGGCTTAGGACATAAGCCTCTGAGGCCAGGACCTTGCCCATCTGGTTCTCCGAGGCACCCCCAAGTACCAATTGTAGTGCCTAGTGCATGACAGACATGTACCCAACAAATGAACTTAAAGACGGTTCCTCCTTTTGAAGGTCACTTCTCCATGGGGACTTAATTGGTTCTTTTCTAAACTCCTGGGGGACTTTAACCAGTAATGCCCCCCTCTCAACATTCTATAGGTTTCTTCTATGCTTCAGAGTAGTAGAAAGACTATTCACATATACCTCATTCAGGCTAGAAAAAGTTCCTGAAACCTGAGATTCCCTCTAGCTACCATTGCATTTCTCTATGTCCTTTCTATTACTGTTGCGATCTCCATTCTATTATCTAGTCCTTAAACCCATATGCTACTCAAATTGTTCTGTAAAGCTCACTAGCAACTTCTGAATTATCAATGACTGATGCCCTTCCTCTCAGCTGACCTGCTTCATTCTTTGGCTGCTAACTCCTGCCTTCTTGATCTCATTTGTAGGCTCCTCCTTTGGGACTTGCTTCACATATCTGTATTTCTTAGGTCCCTGCCCTTGGACCCATGCTCTTTTCACTCTCTATCTTCTCTTTGATGGCATCATCTATCTCAAGGTTTTAACTGCTTCCTGTATACAGATGACCTACACATGTGTATCCCCAACAACACGATGAAATCTCCACCAAGTTTCCCCTCATATTGGTTTGAATATTTCTACAGTTCAAGACGTTAAAGTTTCATAACTTAAGAATTACCCAAGACATCATGCTAATGAGTATTTATCAAATAGCTACTGTTTCAGAAAAACCAGTTGAGGTATTTTGACCAATACAAACCAACCCATTTGAGGTATGTACTTATATTTCATGACTCTATCTTATTTGATTAATCTGGTAATTAAGATTTTGCCTTAGGGCTATACAATGCGAATGGAGAGAAGGAAGAATTTTCTTATGCTTTGGATATACTGATTATTAGCCAACTCTGAATGAATGTCAAATTTTAGAAAAAATAATAGCAATGATGATAATAAGTAAAAGTCATTCAGAGGTTGTAATGTGCCTGGCATGACCTCATATAATCCTCAATATAACCCTGTACAAAACTGTGGTATTGTTCCTACTTACAGATAGAAAAGTGTGATTCAGAGAAGAATTTTTTCCCCAAATTACTGAAATGGTATATGGTAGAACAGAGATCTGAACCAGGAAATCTAACTCCAGAGCCCATGCTCACCTCTGCTGTTTCAAATCATTTTTGGGATATGGCAGAATTTAAGTAAATAAAAGGATATACACGTTAGATTTGCATATGCATCTTGAGGTGTGACTCACAAAAAGACAGGTTTCCCCTAGCCACTAAAAAAATAAACCCAAATGCCTACATTAGAAATGATGTTGTCTTTTATAGTTACATCAGTTTGGGCAAGGATATCCCAGTTAGAAAATATCTCAAAACAATGTCACAACTTACTAAAAAAAACCCTAAAAACAGAAACCACAAACACAAATTCTCATTCTTCACTGTTTATAATATAAAAGCTACACTCATAAGCCTCTAGACTCCCCAAACTCTTTCCCTAACCCTCTTTCCCAGGATCCTATTTTAAAAACACTCTTCTTCAGTCAGACTAGTCTGCTCATTAGCCTGGAGGTATGACATTTCTTGCCTCTACTTTCACTCACATTACCCTCCCCTTGCCTAAAAGTACCTCTCCCTCTCTATTCCTATTCAAGAATCTGAATCCTATCCAGTGGTGTGCTGGTAAATGAAAAGCAGTGGGAGGTGGGAAGAATGTGAAACTCTTGATTTGTAGCTTTTGCCGATTTCCATGGTGTAAATAATCCCACCGTGGCTGATTTTAAGCTACCAATATAATGTCACTGAACGAGTAGTGGGAAGAAATGCTTACAGTTGGCTTTCACCTACCAGTACCAGCATGCTCCAGCACATCACCGAACTCCTACTTATCCTTCAAGGCCAAACCCATTTTAACTGCTCTGTGAAGACTTCCAGTATACCCCTGGTAACTCTAGTTATACCTTCCTTTAAAAATCAGCACATATTATCTATGCCCTAAATGCAGCCGCTACTTATGCCAGCATGCTATAGTCGCTGGAGAAATTAATGGCTATTTTAGCATACAGGAAAACCTAGCCTCCATTGAACAAGTCAAAACAAAAGAAATGTCATCCAATTTTCCTTAAATGTGAAGTGGCATGCCTGGACTCTAAAGTCTCTCACGTTAGAAAATTGCGTTAACGCATGATCGGTTTAGTTGCCAAGGGGGAGGAGGTGGGGGTGGGGGTGGTGTGTGTGTGTGTGTGTGTGTGTGTGTGTGTGTGTGTGTCGAGGAATGTAGTGGCGGAGCGACACTATACCTATGATTATGCCAGAGGGATTTCGGCCGCGGTTAACTGAGGCCCGCACCCGGCGCAGCCTCCCTCCTCAGCAACTTCAACCCCCTGCAGGCCACGTCATCACTCCAGGTCCCCGGCCTCCCCTTCCCCTCCGCGCATGGCGGGCCGCTACTCACCATGGCGGCGGGCGGGAGTTAGCAGTCTAGAGGAGCAGGAGAGGTCTGGCGGAACCTCCTCAAGTGGGGAAAGACAAGGGTGACTGAACCGCAGAAGACGCTAAGGGAGGGCACGTTGTTTAGAAGCCTCTGGTTGCTAATGGAAACGGAGGCACGTGAGCTGAGTTACGAGCTTTTATTGGTCATCTGGATGACGTAACAGGAAGTGCAGGGTGCTCAGCCTACCGCTGCATGCGCATTGGCTTCTAGAGCCAGGAAGTCCCGCCTTTCGTGCCACGCTAACTGTGGAGGCAGGCCCCCGTTGCCAATGGTAACCGCGGGGAAGATGCTGCCTGGGGTACTGCACTCTAGCGCGTGGCGGAGCCAAGGACTGGATTATGGAGAAGGTCCTAACCCTTACGTCCCACTGCCTGGCAGCCCCGACGGCCGTAGCCTCGACTGCCGATTCCCGACCTTTTTTAATGGTCTTATGGGGCGTAGGGAGCGTACGCCTGATTTTATATCTCTCCTCTCCAGGAATTCCTGCTTGGCCGAGGTAGGCCGCCAGCACCAGAGCTGCTAGGTTCCTGGATAGAGCTTTGAACGACCCTCTCCCCACCCCGCCCATTTTTTTCTCTTATTTATATTTCTGGTAAAAATCTCTAATAACACCTTTTCTCCTAAAAAATGAGCTCAAATGAAGTCGGTGAAAGAGCAGTGAATTTCAAATTGTTACACCTGCACTCACCAGGTAATAGGGAAAAATTTACAAGGACAGCAATCTAGTCCAGGTGGCTAAAACAACAGAACACTTCCTTAATTCCCGCTCTGCCAGGCACTCGCTCCCTAAATTTACTCCCCTTTGCTTGCTAGAAATGTTGCAGATAAGGAAGCAAAAAGATATATATTGCTCCCCTTGTCTTTGTTTCGGGGGCTCAGACCTTGGGAGATTACTCCCCTCTGAGCCCGCCGGTGTAAAACTAAAACTTCAACACTCCAAGACCTCCGAGTGCCGCTTGGTTTCTCCGTCATTGATCTAGTCCAGGTTTTTCAGGTTTTTTGCTTCACACAAGGAAGCTTGTTGAACAATGCTGGCCTCACCCCAAGAAATTCTGAATCACAACGGTCTAGCATGTGTGTCTTGGAACCTGCAGTTTTCACTGACACTCCAGGAGTGGTATGTCACTCTCTAAGAAGCACGGTCCTTGAAGAAGCAAAGGTGTTGGATGAGATTACTGGAAATACCAGGGGTTTGGGGCTGTGTGGGTGAAAAGCCATGAGAGGACATAAGCCATAATTGGCCATTTCATCAGGCCCAGAAGACAGAAACTGAGCCAGATACACTGGGGAGGCAAGCAATAAGCTAAAAAGTCAGATCAGTGAGATAAACACTGAAACAAGAAGGAGCACAGAGTGAGGAGCTTTTTGAGACTCTGGGAACCTTAAAACTAAGGCAAGGCTATTGGCATTAGCCCTGGCTCATGAATAAACGAATGTAGCTAATGCTTTTATGTTGATATTGGCCACAACACAGTGCAGCTTAAGATGGATCACACTTGGGACCTAAGAGTCTGGAAAGGATTTGAAAGACCTG